GGCCAGGGCGCGTCTCCGGCCAGGGTGCGTCTCCGGCCAGGGCCACCTCTCCGGCCAGGGCCACCTCTCCGGCCAGGGCGCGTCTCCGGCCAGGGCCACCTCTCCAGCCAGGGCGCCTCTCCAGCCAGGGCCACCTCTCTGGCCGGCCATGTCTGGGGTTTCCCCCTGTGCTGGCTGGCAGTTTGGCCATGAGCCCCGCGCCTGCCTCCTCGGCCCCTGACAGAGGCGCTCTGTGGAGCCGTCTCTGGGCGTCCGGCGGTCAGGGCCTCCCGCCTCCAGTCACTGTCCTGTTGCCTCTGACCCTGGCCGGTGCACAGGCACTCCTGGGAACGCCCCTGGCTCCAGGGGCTTGGTGCCGAGGCTGCGGGCCGGGCTTTCGGCTGAGGCCGAAACTGAGGCGAACTGCACTGGCCAGGGCTCTACTGACCGAGACTCAAAACACACTGGGCGCCAGGGCTCCCTGAAAGAGCCACGACAGGAGGGTGCCCGGACCTCAGCCGGGGGGCCCAGAACCTCTGCACCCCGCCCCAGCGAGGCCCCAGCAGCCCCTCCAGGAGCCCGTGGCCCCGGGACCCACCTGCTCGGGGGCCCTCAGGCCCAGACGCCTGGCAGCCAGCTCCGCAGCTCCGGGGACACCCCCGCTAGGGACACGAGTGGTCAGTGCGGGACAGCAGGAGTGGGGCAGCTGGGCCGTCAGGCTGGGCAGAGGCGAGACAGCCCTCACTCAGGCCCCGGGGGCAGCAGCACAGCCCGCGCCCAGCGCACCAGAGGTGAGGACCTGCGGAGCCCTGGCCAGTGGGTGGCAAGGGGCCTCTGGGAGCCGGGGGCCGCCCGTGGCCGCGACCCGCCAGCTCTGCTGCCCGAGCTCAGACTGCTTGGAGAGGGAGCCGGCGGCACCCCAACCCGGGCCGCGCTCCTTCCCCAAGGGGGGCGTCCCTCCAGGGGCCACCCTCCGTGCTGGGGCTCCCCGGGGACGCGCAGCGGCCGGTGTTTGAGGCACACGCGCTGCCCGGAAGCCCGGCGCCCAGGCCCTCCCGACCAGGTTAACGCAGGGGCGAGGGCGAGCGAGACGCACGGCCGGCCCCCCCTGCGCCCACGCGAGCCCCACGCGGGGCTGAGGTCTGCCTGGCGGCCCCCTGCAGGCGGAGCGGGGCGGGGTGCGGGGCGGCAGTCGGGCAGGCCTGCTGGTAAATGCCAATAAACATGCAAATACGGTCCAGAGTGCTCCTCTCACTTCCAATTCAGCCCCAGTAACCCGGGGGTAAATCTGTAAATTATAGTGGAGTGTGACTTGTAAATAACGTTTTTCTGACATCCCTAAAGCATTGCTGTAACTTTGGAGTTCATAAATTGCTGATGTAAATGAGTTTGCATAACCATTTTGCGGTAATGAGAACACGACCCAGCACGGCGGGGTTCGGGTCCCTCCGCCCCGAGCTGGTGGTGGCAGGCGCGCGCCGGCCGGAACCCGCCTCCCGGCTCGGGCCCTGGGGCAGCTGGGAGGCCTGAGCCCGGTCTGTGCCTGCCGGAGGGGTCTGGGCCCGCTCCAGGGCAGGGCCTGAGGCCTGGCGCTCGACAGATGACCCCACGGCACTCGAGACCGGGCTGCAGTCTGAGCCGCTTAGACGCCGCCTGCGGTCCCGGGCCACCGCCTGGCCGGCCTGTCCTCCACCGGGAAGGTGGCCTCTCTGGCTCTGAGCACGCCAGCAGAGTGTGAGGTGGCCGCCTGTGGATGCTCTCACTGCCCCGGGCCATGCTGGGGCGCGTCTGTCCTCATGGCCCCGAGGGCCGCTGACACCCCACCCCACTGGGCGTGACTCCCAGGGGCCACAGGCCACTCCGCCTTCCTTCTCTCCGCTGCGACGCTGCCCTGGGGACGCACCCGCCGGCCACATTTGCTCGCGGCAACCCCCTGCCCGGCGAGCAGCTGCCCTGGCTCCGGAGGTCCTGCCCACTCGCCGTGGCCTGTAAGTTGACCCTGAGGCCCCTCACACCCCTCATGGTCCCACCCTCCCAGGCGTCCGGCCGCCGATCCTCACCTGCCGCTCTCGACCCCTGCCCTAGCTGATGCCCAGTGATGTCCACCTCCCCCGCCTCGGTGCAGCTCATGGCCTGGCCTGCTCAGGAGCCCCAGGTCTGACCCAGGGGCGGATGCCTGGGGCCACTCTAGCCCAAGTCAACGAGGGGAGGATGGAGCCGCTCGGACCCACCCGGGGCAGGGGAGCTTGCGCGCCCAGGCCGCCAGCCCCTGGCCACCCTAACGGCGGCATGTGAGGGGACAGGTCAGAGAGGACACTGGACATGTGCGTCCCACCCTGGTGCACACAGCTGACCGTCGTGACCACAGTCCTCGGCTGCCAGGAAATCCGGAGACTAGCGAGGGCTTGGGATTGAGGGTTACGCCCCCCTTGGTTACAGGCTGGCCCTGAAGGTGCTGCCGTCAGGAGCAGGGCGGGCTGCGGGGGCTGGTGGGCACCTCTCTGGGCCAGCAGCACCCCTGTGGGGATGGCCGGGTGGGTACAGGGCGGCCGGGCCTCGTGGAGCGCCGGGCCAGTGGTCCGGCCGCACAGCGCACTTCTGAAAGTGCCCCCTCCCTGTCCCCGCGGGCAGCCCCCAGGCGGGTCAGAGCCCTTCTGAGCGACACCAGCCAACGGGCCTGCTGGAGTGCGCCCTCCTGCCCTCCGGCGGAGCCCGGCCCCACGGCGCCTGCTCGGCCGAGGTGGCCACAAGTCCTGCTTCAGTTCTATTCTGGAAATGAAGTCGCCGCCCAGACGAGATGTAAGAGGCCACCCCAGTTCCAGAGGTCAGGGTTAGGGTTAGCTTGGGGCCGTGGGGCGCT